AAATTTGAGATGGAAAGAAATAACCAAATAAATATCAATTAAATATAGATAAAATACGAAAGGTACGATGCGAACCTATCATTATTAATTACTAAATTACTGATTATTACTGATTGTTAATATCAGATTACATCTTGAATAATCTATATACAGTACAAGCTCGTTAATCCGGCATTCACTAATCCGACACGTCCAGTAATCCGGTATTTTGAAACGCTTATAATCAACTCTATAATCCGGCACTCATAAAATTTTACATGTTTATTATTTCGTTACAAGGTTAGAATAGTCAGTAATAGGGGATTCCCACGAGTTTCTGTTATTGCGTGTGCGTTGCATGATTTTTATGCACCTATATCAAAATGGAAAGTAAAACACGAAAACGAAAGCACGAAACGTTAACTCTAGTTCAAGAAATGGAAATTTTAAGAAAATTGGGTTCCGGTGAAAGTCAGGTGAAGTTTTCTGCTGAATACAATGTCGATTTTGCGACAATTTACGACATAAAAAAAATCGTGAAAAAATTGAATGTTGTGTTCAACAAAGTGATTCGGGAATGAGTCAAACAATGAAAACAGGAGGGTTTCTTGAAGAACGTCGCTGTAAGAAGACTTTCACGGGAGATAGTATACGACAAAAAGTTTTAGTTTTTTACGAGAAAATCTATAAGAATAAGGAATTTAAAGCAAGTGGCGGGTGATTTCAAAAATTTAAAGTAAGATATGTGAATAGGGCCGTTAACGTCAATCGATTAGAAAGACCGTCTTTAAAAAAATCGATTATGTAAATTAAATTAGACGGATTAGTAACGTTTTCACGTTCGAAAATTGTTTAATTTTTGCAATAATTAATGTAAAAGTTTAAAATTCCCCACCCCTGATTCATTGTGACGTTTTAAGTAAGAAGAAAGAAATCACAGACGTGATTTCTCTCCCGTTTTCTTCTGTTTTCTTCTAGCGCATAAGATTCGTAGCATTGTCTCTCTCTAGGAATTTTATTGATTTTTATACGCTCCAATCATACGCTCAAATCTGAGTGACGCGCTACTGAATTTTTTTGGAAAAACTAAGCCTCAGAATCAAAAATTAAAAAATATGGGGTCAATCAATTTTAAAAAACTTTCGAATGAGCCAATAAAAAAAAAATAGTTAACGGCCCTATTACGTTTCCAAAGAAGAGCGAGAAGCACCAGGCAGGAAAGTGTCCAAGGATAGAGTTACCATTATGGTTATGCTAACGGTATGGATCAACTCACGCTTTTATTAATAGGGAAAACGAGATCACCTAGGGCATTTAAAAATGCTGATCATCCACTCGTATACAAAAACCAAAACAAAGCATGGGTAACCAAAGAAGTATTCGTAGAATGGTTTCATAATGTTTTTGTCCCTGAAGTACGACGTTTTTTGAAGAGCAAAAATTTTCCGACGAAAGCGCTTCACCAACGCACCTGCACATGGTCCTAATGAAAATTTAGCTTCAAGATTCAATGCTCACAAACACTTTTTTTACCTCTTAATTGCTCACCTCTGCTTCAGTCTATGGACCAGAATGTGATCCAAATGATAAAGACTAATTACAAAAAAAAATCCTGGTCAATGCTGTTTTGCGAGAAGATGATGTCGCTAAAACGTTAATAAATATGAATTTTAAAGATGTATTCAGCGTGACTGAGGTCTGGAATAGTGTACCTGAGAGAATAATACAATCATGTTAGAAGAAGTTGTGGCCATCATTAAATAACAATGAAGTAGAAGGTGAATGGGATTTAGAAGATGAGCTCTCAATTGCAGAGTTGAAGAGTATGCTAAAAAATCAAGAAGAAAAGTCAAACTTCACAGAGGAAGATATAGACGAGTGGTTTGCAGAAGAACCGGGCAACGAACCAATCATGACTGATGATGAAGTAATAAATGAAGTGATCAGTAATAAATCAGACAATGGTAATGTAGAAGAGGTTGCCTCCAACTTTCAAGTGAACTCTGTGAAATCTGAGGACGCATTAAAGGCAATAGATTTCAATATTCTTTGGGACAAATTCCTTGATACGTCACAAATAACATGTAAATACTTTCCAATAATAAACGATTTAATACAGTGTTGATCATTATTTTGTTTATTTTCTCTTATAGTAAAACTTTTTTCTTGATAATCACTACTTAGTTTACAAATTTTAATCAATTTTTACCTCGAAGACTGCGATATCTTTTTATAACGTAGAATATTGTGCTGATTCTGAAACTGTCTTCAGTTTTCCTCTATCATGTCCAGTTTTCGAGATATATCCAAAAATGTGGAAAATCGTAAATTAAAAAACGGTTCATGTTCAGTATATTTTTTATTTTGCATAGTGTGCTTCTGTAGCTATATGGATGTAGCTACAATGAGAATTTTATTTGCCAAAAAAGGTCTAACAGGTAAACGTGCGAGTTCCTAAAAACTTTTTCCAAGAATGTTATTGTTTGTTGTATAAGAAGAGTTAAAACACCTCTTTATTAAAAAAAAATTGTTCTCGTAATAATGTTTCAATAATACAGTGAAAATGGCAAAAAATGAAATTTTGCACGATTGTCGATATCTCGGATAAAATGCGTTCGACCATGGTGTCCAATGCTTCGAAATTTAGAGAATTAAATGTTCTATAGGATAGAATAGCTAACTTTTTTGTACATATATAATTCTTTTCGTTACGGTGCTAAAAAGTGGGAAAAATGCCAGAAAATTTGATTTTGTTGTGTTGTTTTAGGCTGTAGCAAAATAACGGAGAGTCTGATTTATGCCATCAATACCTCAAAATGTTTGTCTGGATCTCTACTTTCATGTCCATGTAGATACAGAAGTACACTATGCAAAATAAAAAATATACTTAACATGAATCGTTACTATCCTGAAAACTGGACGTGATGGAGAAAAACTGAAGACAGTTTCAGAATCAGCACAACATTCTACGTTATAAAAAATATCACAGTCTTCGAGATTTTTCTTGTAAACTAGTGTAATATGCAGTAGTCCGGCACGTTTGGTAATCCGTCAGTGCGAAAAATTTTATGGTGCCGGATTATCGAGCTTGTACTGTATATATAATCCGTATTTCAGTTATAATTGTAGATATAGGCTGGTTATTCCAAACGGAAGTTATTTTATTTTATGTAAAGTGTTGCTTGAGTATATGGAAAAAATACGATTTAGTACAATTTAACCGTCTATTGTAATTCATTATTTCTTTTTTATTCTAAAATCGTTTTTCATTACACGTAGAATCTGTCCAATTTTGCTTATTTGAGTTTTTGTAACTATTAGTTTATGACACAACAAACTGGAGAACCAGCAACTTTTCTATTGGGGTCACAATTCCTTAGCCAAGTTCCGATTTTAATGCATCGCAAATTCGCCTTTCGGCTGGCATTTTCAGACCACTCTCAAAATGGTGCTCCGCCAACAACGACAAAGCCGGATTTTCACTTTACTTCTTGATAACCATCTTACTTCGCCACATAAAAGTTCATATTTACAGTATGCTTCCATATAACTGTAAAGTTGTTTAAATAGACATGTTTTTAATGTTCTCGAGGTAATTACTTGACACTAGTGTTCATAATATTTTTTGGTAAAATACCGGAGTTCTGCGTAACAGCGGTTAAGAACCACTATTTTCGAGTAAAAATTTAATTAATCTCTTATTATCACTGATTTACTAACTTTCGTGTCTCACAACACAACTCAAGCAATTTTTCGAGGCGATGATTGATTTTGCTGGTTTTCAGATTTTTAAATAAGCTTTTTTTATGTTATATTTAGGTCACCTAAATCTAAATTTTAAAAATTAGAATTCAGAACAACAGCAGTCTTCAATTAAGTAGACATCTTTACTAATGGCCTATTTCAACATTATGAGAGATGTGGAAATAATGTCACTCTTAAATTCAACAATACACATAAACGCAGAAATAGATCTCTGATATTCAAGATAATTTTATTACAGGAATTATTATTATCTTGAAATAGTAAAAAATAACTGAGTGACTCCATTATTTCTATATGAACACAATCATAAGATGTAAAACTTAAAATTTTTATTAGGGTTTTTGTGCAACGTTGAATTTTTTCTAATTATCTGTAAAAATTACAGAAACGCGAAAGAACATTCGTTAGGAGAAATGAAATTACACACGACCAACGATAAGTTTATATTTCGACATCAGCGGAAACTTTTTACACACCCGTTCATTTTACGCCGAGCAGTAGTGTGCGGGATAAAAATCGCCCACTTCATTTACTTTTCCCATTTTCCAGCTTATTCTACATTCTGCATCGTCGAAATTAATTAAAACCGACTATAGGAGAGGAAGATGACGGGGGTAAAACGAACGTTACTAGTAACGTACTTGAACGTTGGTTAAGGGTTTTAAAAATTTAGAGCGCGTGCAACACTTTTAACTTTACGCCGTGCTAAAGTGCTTGTAACTGTCGTACCGATCCTTGATTCTGAAGGTTGTTCGCTCTGAAACTGAAACTGCATGTGCGTATAGTTCGTTTGATGGCCTATCGGATTACATTAATTACAAATTAGAATAGGGGTAAAAGGGATTGCTTCACCACCCTGTGCTTTGTCACGAATAAGCTTTGCGTGCAAATTACGATCCGTTTAGTTCACGGTGTAATAATGAGCCTAAAGTGATTATTGCTGCTTTTTATGATTAGTAGGTACAAATTACAGTGGAGGACTTTATAAGCAATTTAATTTCAAATTCACATTAATTTTGTTATATTGCGATCAATAGACCTTCGTGAAACACTCAATGCTATTTTTTCTCTGAATGCTTTAATACGTAGCTATAACAATATTGTGCGTTACAAATATATCATTATACATTTATCGTTGCATGTCTCCAAACAATAAATGAACGTTATAAGAAATACATTTTGATGATTATATATTGAGAACTTAGCCTTCATTGAAACGTATAAAAGAAGTTTTTTAAAACAATATATTTAGTTTCAAGAATCGCTGTTATACTTTAAACTGCACAATGTATTTTGTTTTGGTAATGTTGTTTGCATGTCTTATTCAGGTAAGTTTTACTCACAGAGATTTTCTTAACTTGATTTATCCCAATTTATTCTTGTAGGTGGAGGTGTATGCAACTACAGAAAAGATGTATCAAATTGCCGCTGATTGTATGGATTCAACTCACGTTGATCCCGATGAAGTAGCAATTTCTTTGAGTGGTACCGTTACCGATTCACCAGAATTTAAACAGTTTTTGGAATGTTTCTTTGAAACTGTGGGCTTTCTCCATGATAATGTTATCGACTTTGATGCAATCCTTCTTCATCTTGATTACTTGGAGCCTGTGTTCCCACATATCGAAGATCTATCAGCAGCTGTGTTGATATGTAAAGAAAAGATGGTTCATGGAAGCACCATGGCTGACACCATATTCAGTGGATTTAAATGTTTTGTGGGTGCAGCTTAAATTTAAGGTCTTACTTATTATGATCTTTGATCTTCTTTGATTTGTAATTAATAAATTGAAATTAATAAAAGTTTAACAGAAATAATTTAGTTCATAGTGCCAAATTCAGAGATAAGGTTGCATTCTAGTAAATAATTAACACCCTAAATCTGTGTGAAGGACTACTAATGGTTGCTGCTAGTTACACTATTGCAGTAAATTTGTTTGTTCAATTGGAAGAATTGAATTTACCTTGACCAAGCTTTAATTTATTTCACGTTCTTTTTTTGTAGCTGAAAAAAATCACATTTTATTTACATTTTTGCACATTTTCCGCCCTTCCAAACATATTACCCTGAACATCCAAAGGATAAAGGCGACATGCTATATATCAAATAACCCTCCCCATAAATTAATTATGTTCTCAGTCGAGATATAAAAAAAATAACGAATTTCTACCCCGGCATTAACCCTTTTCCCAGTGGCTTTGTTTATCTTTCATGTGTCCCCATATAGAACTCGACGCAAACAACGTCTGGTTGTCGTGTATATATATACTACGTTTACCACCAAAGTTAAAATAAAGTACGATTTTGGGGATTATCATTTGTGCTTTTCATTTTCCCCAGGTGCGACTCTAAAGTCAAACTGATCCCCATTGTTCCCGAAAGTGGAGGAGGTAAAACTGTTCGGTAAGACGCCACCATTCCCATTTATAATACGAATAATTCTCGCCATCTGAATCGAATTAGTCAAATTAGTGGAGCTTGACGCGTACTTTGCCCGACGTAATTCTTTCTAATTGGACTTTCGAAAAGTTGGAGTTTAATCTATTAATTTCCAAGACGATTGATTCTTTTGCATTTTTTACTTACTCTTCAATTCGTATAATTGAGAATTGTCCAAGATGGAAAGTTTTGCTTCAGAAGTTTCCATTCTAAATTATACAAAAGTTTCAAACAATTAAATTGTAGTTCGTATTTATCAAATTGATAATGCAATCAATAACATTAAAAAGAATCATTTTCTTTCAAGAAACTAACAGGTGTTTTTTCAATTTCTTATCATGAAACAGTTTGTTTTCTCGTATATCGAAAAAGAAAATACTAGTAATAGAAAGGGCAAAAGGTTGGATTGCCGTCTCGATTTGTCAACACACCATCTTCGAATCGAACGAACATTTCATCATCTTTTCGAGGTTGTCCTGTGCAAAACTATGACGGAAGTTCAACGTGGACGACATCTTGCGTATTGATTCTATTCCTACCTGGCGGCAGTGGTGCATTTTCTATCTTTGCAAATCAAATTGTTTCAGCGCACTCTGCATGAGATGCGTTCTATTTACGGATATCGCGAATAAAAGAAACAATTTGTTTCTTGCAATTCAATTTGTTATAGGTATAGAATCAATTTTTGTTGATATATCATTCACTATGTATAAATGTTTAATGGTATTAGATAATGATCATGAGTTACTTTTATTTAAATTTATTAAAAATTAATTAATTAATCCACGATATCTAAACTTTAATTTAAATAATTTTTGTTCAATAAAAAATGTAATCTTAAACATATCACTTAAGGTTTGTTGACCACCTTGTTTCGGTTGCAGATTTAGAACGATACGTCAGGCGAAATACAAGGCATTCCTGAAAAGCCTAATGAAAACGTTATAAAAGTCACAAAGTTTTGAGTGTACCCCAATGATCTGGATGTTACCCATCGCATTCTACACGCGATTTATGGTGGATAAATCGATTTAAAAGTATAGCAGTCGGATTCTATAACCATATCAATCAGTTTACGCGAATGAGCTGTTGCTATTACCAAAAGGTTAATATAAATCCCATGATAAAAAGGATATCATGGGATTGTCGTTCTGATTTTGATATTGAGAGATTTTCAGATAAATGTTTTATAAACATATAGACAAAAGTTACAAGTATAAGTTAAAACTATAGAATACTAGTATATCAGTTAAGCCTAAGTGTCCGAGGATAAAGATGACATTAATTATGATATTCTCTTAGTAATGGCACCGTCTGTTGTTGTGAGATACTAAATGTACCACTTCATCTCGCGCCGGCGAGTTTTAAGAGCCAGTTTACCTTGCTGGTTCTCTATAGATATAATAAAAATCAAAAATACAAATCACAAACGGTTTGTAAATCGTATTGATTAAATCATGATCACTGTGTTGAGGGATTGCTCATAATATCTCATAAATCATGATTACCATAATTGTGTAAACTGTTTCATAATATTTGGATCAGTATTTGGTCGCTAAGACGTGAACAATCTAGAGATTACCCATGATTGTTAACATCTTGGCGACCGTTTGTTGCAGTTCCAGCGGAATCGGATTTTGGGAAACTTGAGAGCGGTAGTCTCCTTTGTAAAGTCGGTGGTGAAGGTATTCTTCCTAATTTTTTATGATTATGATTCAGACATCATATGTCTTCAATTCTGTACATCAACTTTCTAACGTTCCCCAGCATATCGTCCTTCCATTCTACAATTCTCTTCCAGATGTCCAAGCCATGTTTTTATATGTGTTACTATGTCTGTACTATTCTGGATCAAAAACGAAACTTCTCTGGTTCAGTCAGATACTTGCATACTCACATGATGAATCAAAAACGCCGAAGGAGTCGGAGCTGGAATATATTGCCAGACACCTCGGATTAAGCAAGTTTACAGCATGCGTACGTACTGCACTGTATTTCAGGCGGAATGAGTAAGAATGAGATGATAATTCTTGACTGTATCTGTCACTTGATGACTGCCTTAGGAAGGAATCTTGTAGGTGTTGTTATGGAACAACATTTTCTACTATTTCAAATATTCCTCTAACTGTCTAACGTATACTGATAAAGATCTTTTGTCGTATATCTCATCTTAAAGACTAATGTGCAAAGACATGGGTGTAGACTTTCAGGAGCACTATCATTTAATCAGCATGTTGATTCAATGCAATGGTTGGCAAAACTTTTTATGTACTTGGCTTCATCAAGACAGTTGCTGTTTAGTTGAAGACGCTTTACTCTTTACTTATATGTGTTCAGCACTTTGAGTTGCTGAACTTTGACTTCAAAGTTGTTTCGGAAGCAGCATGTATCCGATATTGTAATATTGCTTTTTAAGTGACCCCTAAAATAAAAATCAAGAGGATTGAGGTCGGGCGATCGCGGTGACCAGGCCATTGGACCACCTCGACCTATACATTTTATCTAAGAAACTACTAAAAACTTCTACTACAATTTTTTTTCACCTATTAGTGATTATTTATCATAAGGAATAAATCCCCAAGTTTATGCGTTGCGAATCACCTGTGTTTAACATTACACGATTACTCAAAAACACAATTAGCTATGATGCGAAAATTTGGTAGCCGTATTATTACAAAAAATTATATTTTTTAATTATATTGAAATTATTGATAGTATCTACCTTTGGGCTAAATCCGTAAACACGAATTAGCACTTAGCACGAACACATATCGAACATTTTTCGTTCATACGAAAATGCAATTTCAGAATGCAATTTTAATAGAAATAGAATTCTTAAACATTGGTAGATTTTGGTCATTTTAAGGGGAAAATTAAAAAGAAAATGTTTTAATTTTAACGGATATCTATTAATTATTTATTTTCTCTACAAATTATTTATTTTCTATACAAAGTCTCTAACATTGAAATATTTTAACAAAAATTGGCGAAATTTCAGGCATATTTTGAAATGATTGCGATTTGTTAAATTTATCTGCCCTTTCATTACCCTCAATGCCGATATGACCCGGTACCCATATAAATACGATCTGTTTTCCAGAAATCAAGACTTCTCCAACCATCCGTACCATTGGTTCGTTTGGACACATTGCTTATAATGATTTAAGAGCACTGAATGAGTCTGTAACTATGACAAAGTTATTTCCATTATGACTCATACGGGTGAATAACAGAGCCTTGAAGATGGCATACAACTCCGCAAAGAAGATAGACGCAAAACTCTGTAAGCTCCATGAATAATCACTATCCCCAACTACAAACGCGCAACCAATTCCACTCTCCTTTTTGGAAACATCAGTATAAATAAAAACAGCATCATCATAGGCATTAATTATATTTCTAAATTTCGCTCTAAATAATTCCTGTGGTGTACTCTTTCTAGCATAACATGTAAAATTTAATTCGAAAACGGGTTTATTTAACTGCTAAGGAGTAAATTCGATACTGCCTAAAGAATGTAAGGGGGGCATAGTAAAGTCTAAAGTTTCTAGCAGTTCTCTGGCCCTTACTACTGCCGGTCTTGTAGCTGTTGATCTGTACACAGGTGGTTGTTGGGAAAGCATTATAGAGATTGGGTGCTCAGGTTGTATGCGCTTTTTACAAAATAATTAAGTATTTGCTAATTTCGTCGATTGTGAAGAGGAACAATACCAGATTCACAATACAAATTATGAACCGGACTAGTAGGAAAAGCTCCAAGTATGTAGAGTATTGCAAGGTTTCTTGCAGAGGAATACACCATACTACCATAATCAATAACAGATAACATCACACTTTTATACAACAGCTTCAGCACTGTAGTATCAGCCCCCCACCTTGTTCCAGATAAAACGCGCAGTAGATTTAATGATTTCCGACAACGTGAAATAATGTACTGAATATGGCTCTGCCTGAGCCACGCTCAAAGTAGAACCCTGAGGAACGCCATTTTCCAACAAATGCTCCGATGAAATCTCATTCCCCACTCTGACACAAAAGAGACGGCCCGAAAGAAATGATTGAATAAACATAGGCAAAATGCCACGTAAACCCCACCTGTGCAATTGAATCATTATTCCCTGGCGCCATGTCATGTCATATGCTTTTTCTAAGTCAAAAAACACCGCTACCAAAACCTGTTTTTGTAGAAAGGCTTCCTGAATAGCAATCTCAGGCAAAACAATATTATCAATTGTGGAGCGACCTTGTCTGTATTCAAATTGGAAGTTAGAAAGTAGGTTTTCTTGTTCTATTATATGCATCAACCTATAACTCACCATTTCTCTAGTATTTTACCAATGCAACACGTTAAGCTAATAGGGCGGTAACTGTTAGA